ACGCCGTCTCAACCGCCTTGCTTTAGCTTGTTTTTTATCTTTATCTTTTTGTCTTAATGCTCTATAAATAATTTGATGAGGCGACGAAGCACACTGTTTGTCTGCGTTTTATATATAGATATAGGTCTTTTCAGTGCATGATCTTTTTTTTTTTTTTTTCCATTAAACGCTCATTTGAAAAAAGGTCTTATTCTCTGCCGAGCATTCATTAACACGATCCTTGTATTTTCTCTGTCTCTTGAATTAGGTCAAAATGTTGTTTACCTGCAGGAGAGTTGATTTGATGAGAACAGAAACAGGATCGCAATTTAAGACATATTTCATTTGTATACAGGCTATGCAACAAGCAGTGATGTGGAGGTAGACGAGCTTAAAAGGGGGGGGTAAATCACCACCAGTGATTGAATATTTTAAGAAATCCACGTTCCACATATATGACTTGATATAATCTATGGAGTCGACCGTGAACTGCTACAATAAAGATCTGTGTCAGGTTTAAAGGGTGTGAAAACACTGTTACGCAAATAAAACTGAATGGCTTTACTGCCCAACATGCAGGCCAAATATGGTGACAACAATCCAAAATGAGGCAGCTCAATGTCTACATTTTGACTAACGCACGCGGGCCTTTACAGCTGAGGCCCGGATAACGAGCATAAAAACAATAGACACACTGGCTGAATCTGTGACTCGGCTTTGGTCCCATTAATAGATTTACTGAGGCTCAGGGGGGGGTGCAGGTGTGGATGCTTCTTCTCAAGACGTGTTACATTATCATGTGCACCCCCCCTCCCCCACACACACCCACCATGAAGTTGTGTTGGCTTTAATTGGAGGCCCCTTGATAGCAGTGCTATATAAGACAAGGCTCGGACCCTCCTGGTCGGGCTGGACCTGCAGCTGTTCTGAAAAGCATTACATTTAATTTGCGCTCTGTCAGCGTCCACCAGCCACAGAGCGGTGAAAAGAGACCCAAAAAGGACACACGGATTTCATTTCACCTGGACAAAGACACCCTGAGAGGAGCGATCAACTCAGCTCTGTGTGATATTTAATCTGTCTGCTGTTCTCTCTCTCTCTCTCTCTCTCTCTCTCTCTCTCTCTCTCTCTCTCTCTCTC